CATTTTAGGGGAGGTAGGTGATTTGCAGAGGTTAAGTTGCAGGCCCAGGTTCACTGGGTCAGTAAATGGTGCAGCTGTGATTCAGGTTCAGGTCTGACTCTCAACTCCTCCGTCAACTAAGATGAACACATCCTCTAGTTTCAGAAATTCTTTGAGGGGAAGGGAGTCAGGTGGGTGTCCGCATTTTTGACATGGCAGGGGCCACCCTTCGGGACACCCATGGGGAAAGTTCTCTGGGAAATGGAAGTGTGTGTGGGTGAGAGAAGGGGGTCAGCCCTAATCCTGATGCCCAGTGGGAGCCATTAAACCAGTAGACAAAGCGGAGACCTTTACAGATGGCTTCAGATGGTCTGCAAAGGAGCTGGAAGCAGCCCCAGTACGTTGGCCATCAGATCATTAAAGGGAGGAAAAGTGACCATGTTAACAGCAACCAGGCTGGGGTCTCCTGGGGCTCTATGCAGGTGTCAGGGGACCAGCTCCAGGCAGGCTCACTGGGTTGGCTCCCAAAGGCCCCTGAGGAAGGGCAGGCTTGCCCATCAACCCCGACCCCATGCCCACTGGGGCCTGGCCTCATGCCCACTGGCCACTCGCAGGCAGACCTGAAGAGAAGGGATTGGGTGAGGGCCCCCACACGGGCGACGGCCTGCACAGGGCTCCCCAGCAGGCCTGAGGCTTGAGCTCCCGCTTACCTTCCTCAGGCTGCAGGGAAAATTCATCCTGCCCAGCATCCTGCCCTTCGAGGCAGGTGGCGGGGACCCAGCCTTGCTCTTCAGCGGTGCTGACGAACCACCAACCTGGGAGGACGAGAGTGCACACTGATGTTCGTAGGGTCAGGTTTGAGGCCTGGATGTCAGAATACAGTAACATTCAGGACTGTGTCGACACTCAGGCGAAGCCTAAACAGGCACCACCCTATTGGCGGGGGACAACAGCCACGTCCACTGACGGCTAACTGGTGAGGAGGGGGCCGGGGAGGGAAACGTGCTGAATGGTGACAGCAAAGAACACAGCTACCTTCACTAAGGTGTGCCAGTACTGATCACTGTGCTTGCATGTCGTAGATCACCTTTACATCACCATCCTCACTGCAGATGAGGAAACGGAGGCTCCAAGAGGCCAACAGACGTGTCCAGTTCTCAGGGCTAACGGCAGAGCTGCGAAGTGCATGGGGCTGTCCGACACTGACGCCACTGCCCTGACAACTCGCCTGACTCTGCATCTGCTCCCGTCAAGGTCAAGCTGGCTGCAGTTGTAACTGCTTGAGAGACCCCCCCCTGCCCAGACTCAGGCCCTCCCTCTTCAGAGAAAAGTCTGCACGGAGCTTGTGGTGGGCAGAATAATGAACCACCAGAGATAATCCACTTAATCCCTGAAACCTATGAATACGTTAAATTACGTGAAGGCCGCAGATGGGATTAAGGTTGCTAATCAGCAGACCTTCAAACGCGGAGACAATCCTGGATTATCTGGGTGGGCCACTGTAATCACCAGGGTTCTTAGCTAAGGAAGAGGGAGGCGGGAGAGGCAGGGGGAGGTGTGGCTAAGAAAGAACAACACAGAGGCAGGACACTGCTGGCTCTGAGGATGGAAGAAGGGGCTGTCACACTCACACACACACAGGCACACCTTGCTTTACACTGCACTTTATTACATTTTGCAGAGAGTGCACTTTTTACAAATTGAAGGTGAGACCCTCCACCAGCAAAAAGATTACTACTGGCGGAAGGCTCAGGTGATGGTTAGCATTTTTTAGCAATAGACTATTTTTAAATTGACGTATGTACTATTTTTTTTTTTTAGACATAATGCTATTTTACATGTAACAGACTATAATATAGTGTAAACATAACTTTTATATGCCCTGGGAAACCAAACAATTTGTGTGATTCACTTTATTGTGATATTTGAGGTATCTGCTTTACTGTGGTGATGCAGAACCAGATGTGCTCCCCTCTCTTTGCCTTCAATGGAGCCAACGGCGGCTTTGTGGCTAAGGAAGGCAAAAGGGAAGAAAACTCACATTTTTGAGCACCTACTGTGTGCCCAGCACAGGTTCAGGCACTCTCCAAATATTATCTCATTTAATTCTTACAATAGCCCTTTGGAGCAGAACTTTTCGTTATTTCACAGATGAGAGAACTGATGATCAGAGAGAAGCAGCCCCCTGGACGACTATAAAATGCAGAGTCCAGATGGAAACCCAGGCTAAATGTCCTTATCATACCCCGTCTGTCCCAGACCTGGCCAGTGCACGTGACCAGTGGTCCCTGCAATGGGCAGGCACACTGAGGAGACAGGCAGTGTGTCCAGTCCACGCCAGAGCCCCCCCGCTGACGGAGCCTCTGTGAAGACTCCGGTGGCAATCAAAGAAAACCAACGGGGCAAATTTTCAGTGGAATGCTAGCCTCCGTGTCTCCAAGTGCTCCGAAGGCAGAAGGAACGTTCACAAAATGTGAACCTCAAAACAAATCAGTAACATCTGACCCAACAGGACGCTGGTGAGTTATGACCAAGCAGGATATTCGAGCACTGTGACCAAATGGGCAGTTTTCTAGGAGGTCATCAGCTGGACCTGCCAAAACTGACCAGCCTCGATCGGCAACTGCAGTTTCTACGCTTCCAAGTATTTCCTGTCCAAGGGGCTCAGTGAGAGTGTTGGGTGGCGAAGGGGGTCTAGATGCCTACCTGACTCATTTTTCTCGATGATGTCCACCACCTGCCCCACGCTGAGGCTGATTTCCGAGCTCTCCTGCTTCTGGTAGTCTGCCACCACTACGTACTGCTCCAGGACCATGGGGTCCACTGAGGTCGGGTCACTCCCTGTGGATACAAAATGCTATCAGATGTCACATCTGGCCACCACCCATCTTTGAAGTAACAGGAGCCAGGGGAGTAGGGTAGGTAAGGAGGACATGCTAAATAGAGAAAGGGGCTGTCACGGAACTTGTCTCATCCACTCATTCTCTTATTCATTTGCTCACTCAACCACCACAGTTTACCAAGTACCTGTGCTAGCACTGTGCTAGCATTGGAGGTTCAGGTTAAGACATGGTACTTGACCTGAAAAGGCAGACAGCCCAGTGGGAAAGCTCATTCCTATCTATCTATCTATCTATCTATCTATCTATCTATCTATCTATCTATCATCTATCCATCCATCCACCCACCCACCTATTCAGCATCAGCCATTACTCACCCACCCATCATCCATCCAAATACCCACCCATCATCCATCCCAGGAAACATCATCCATCCACCATCCACGCACCAGAACACCTATCCACCCACCATCCATCCAACTAAACATCCATTCATCTACCCATACGTTCACCAACCATTAAGCCATCCAAAGTCACTCATTTATTAATTTGTGAAATCACCAATGATATTCCAGACACTCTATTAGGTGCGGGAGTACTAAAGTGAATGAAACAGGTAGGACTCCCAGTCTCATGTGACCTAATCTAGTTGGGGTGACAGACACCTACACAAGGATACGTGATCCATTAGTACACAGGAAAAAAGTATTCGTTTCTGAGAGATGCATTACTGGAAACAACGAATGAACAAGATAGGGAGTGCTACATTACATGGGATGGTCAGCGAGACCTCCCAAGGAGGTGACATAAAGCAGAGACCTGTGACACAAGCAGTCCTGAGGACAATGGGAAAGACCGGTGCAGGCCCACTGTGAGGTGAGGAAGGGCTTGGAGCCTTCCAGGACCTGGAAGGAGGCCAGGGTGGCTGAAGCCCAGAAGTGAGGAGAGTGGTCCTGTGTGAGGTCACGAGGTCACACAGGCCGGCATGGGTCAGAGCAGGCAGGGCCTGCTGGGCCAAGGCAAGAAGTTTGGTTTTTGTTTGTTTGTTTTTTAACCCCTGAAGTAGAACCACTAAAGGATTTTAAGACAGGAATAACACATGAAGATTTGCATCTTTAAAAAGATTATTCTGGCTGCCACATGGAGAATGGATTAGAGGCGGGTAAGAAAGAAAGCAGATGAGATGAAGGACACAAAGCTGTTAGGCAAGAGCTTTGCTCCAGGGCAGGGGAGGGGGGAGAGGTGCTCTAGAGAGGCCGTTTCCCCGGGACGCAGTGTGGGTGGCGACTGTGCAGCCCCGGTTCAGTACTAAGACCCATCTGATAAGTAAATGAAAAGAGACCACAGAATACAAGTGATGTAAAAGGTCAGATGAGTGCAGGCACTCCCAAGAGAAGCGGGTGCACGGTTAGAGCAGCAGGCTGGATGTGGGAGGGCAGCGTGGCATGTGTGGCCGCAGGACCCTGGTGTTCTGAAAGTCCTGACTCAAAATATTCCGCCCCGTTTCCACAAACAGCAGAGACACCCAGGAAACCCCACATTCCGTTCCAAATACTCCCCGTAGCGCAGGGGATGTGAGGCTGGCTCACACGGAGCCAACTTGTGCGCCTCTTCCCAACTCTCTCGGGTGGCATCTTGTTGGTCGCTTAAGATGGGCTGTGGTGGGAGCATTTGTACCGTGGAAGTTGGCAAATGCTACAAAGCCGGGGTGACCACCAGGGAGCTGGTCGTGGAGCCTTTCCCAGCACACCCCTGCCCGCCAGCCTCTGGCATCCAGAAGCAGCACAAAAGCCCTTTGTTAGAAGCAGGCACTGCGCACTTCTGATGGGGAGTCCAGAGCAGGGCATGCTGGCCCGGTGGGGGTCACTGCGCTCTTTTCCACCGGACTGGACAAAGCTTTCCATATCTCGTTCACCTCCACGTTCCCAGGGGACCTAGAGCACTGTCAGGCACACAGCAGGCGCTTAATAAACACGGAATGAATAACCACGTCTGCCTTGTTCACTCAGCACGGACATTCAACGGACATTTGTGGAGCCAATGAACAAAGGGTAACCGGAAACTTCTAGAAACTCTCCATTTCCGCACCAACTCTCCTCACCAGGCTGCCAGTGGGATTTGGGATAACCACAAGCAGTGACGGAATCAGGGAATCACAGGACTCACTGTGAACAAGCCAGGAACAGAGGCGGGCAGGGAGCGGGGTTTAGGACCCTGGCTGGCCTGAGTAGATCAGGCGTCAGCACCTGGCTCAGGCACCGCCTCCGAGACTTACATCTCCTCCCTGTGACAGTAGCTTTTAGACTGTAGTCCCCCGCCACTGAGTGGTTCAGAATACAGTGCATGGGGCTGCTTTTTCTATACCAGGGCTTCCAGGGCTGGCTGCCTTCATTTCAACCACAGCCCTCAACTTATCAAAACCAGGCATGCCAGGATCTGAACACCCGATTCTCAAACTAGGCTTCAGGCCCCTTAGGTGTTACGCAGAGACGCCCGCTGGTGGACTGCGACGTTGCAGCCAAGCTCTATAATGCGCTGCGAGGGCAACACCCAGAAGTTAATGCACCCAGGCCAAGTTCTAGGAGCTGCAAGGGTGGAAGCACATATTCCTAGGTAAGCGAAGTCATGCTTGTGGCCCAGCAGGAAATGAGACAAAGAAAAAGTCAGCAGAAAGGAGGAGATTCCACAGTGGGAGGGTGATTTCATCACTGGGGAAGTGCTATAAAACATTCTCAAGAGGCAAGTGCCTAATCCATCACAGAATTTTCTAGTTGGCCATGTTTTTATTCAAGATGACAGGTCCTGACATTTAAAAGTAACTGCTATGGACAAAACTGTATCCCTCTACATGCCATCTGTGGTGGTACAGGAGGTGGGGCCTCTAGGAGGTAATTAGGTTAGAGGAGGTCATGAGGATGAAACCCGCATCCTGGGGTTTGTGCCTTTATAAGAAGAGACCAGGGCTTGTTCTCTGTCTCTGCATGTGAGCACACAGCGAGAAGGCAGCAGGCTACAAGCCGGGAAGAGGCTTCTCTCCAGACCCCAAGCATGCCTCCGCATCTGTGAGAAAGGAGTTTCTGTCGGCCAAGCCTCTTAGTCTATAGCATTTAGTTAGAGCAGCCCATTATCCTAATGCAACTAATAGCAAAGTAGGATTTTCTTCCCAGAAATTCACTATACTGCCAGTCTTGCTTAGAGTCAGTAAATGAGACAATAACTCAGTAAGTAAAGGGTAGAAAATTCAGGAAGATGCTCCTTAAATAATCACATGACCTGTTACATTTCGGTGCAGGGTTTTTTCCTGCAGGATGAGCAGAATTTGAGACCACATGAGCCAAAGTCTGCAGGAGCCAGCCAAGCAGCCATGACTGGGAAATTCTGGAGACAGACAAGCCTTCTCAGAGCTCTGGCTCAGAAATCCTAGAGCTTGGCTGTCAACCTTAAATCCCTCGCAAATTCAATCAAGAAGGCTGGTTCTAACATGAAGGAAGAGTGCAAAGGTGGGGTGAAAAATAAGGCTAACCCCGGCATGGGATCTTTGTCTGAATGGAGAAAGATGCTATTTTCCACCCAGCGGGACTATAAATAAACCCGTCCCCCCATCATTGCAGGTGGGTGATGTAACAGTGGCTGCCACAAATTAGAGCTTCTTCTCTGTTTTCCAGACCAGTCCCCTCATCAAGCCTGTCTGCCGGGACACTTTTGTTTTCACAGACCAGAGCCGTCTCTTTCCTCTGCCTCCCACCCATTCCCTCCAGGAAAGGCTCTGAACTCTCAAAGCCAGAAACTCCGTGACCAGCCCAAGGGGGGCCGCTCTGCTCTTTTCTAAGAAACGTATCATTATCCTCAGGGCTCTGGGACAATTTGCAGCGCAGCAGGATGCGGGGCTCTGGCCAGTACCCATTATCCAGACAGCGGAGCTGTAAACAGGCTGCTTGGGAAGAGGCCAGAGTTCATTCCACAGCCATACCTTGAGGCAAAGAGAACCACGCTTCTTCACTCTTCCTGGCAAGAATGGCATCGGGCCTGTAAGGCTGACCACTGGCCTTGGACCCAGGGGACCAGAGCTGTTGACAGTGCTCCTGATGCTGCTTTGAAGGACACCTGGGTGCTTTGAATTAACAGTAGAATAAAGACAGCAGCAAACATATATCACAACAGGCCGGGCACTGTTCTAGGTACTTTATACATATTATTATAAATTATTATCCCCACTTTTCAGATGAGGAAACTGAGGCCCATGGAAGGAGGCATCCTTTTTTACTTCTGGGACCTCTACTGGGTTCCACTTTGCCCAATTTTATCAACCCCCTCAAACTTCCCGGAGTTCTAGATAAATAAAAGAACTTAGAATTCTGGAAGCTCTGAAGGCCACATGGTCTAGGTGTGGTGCGGGCTGGGGCCTTTGCAGATGTGGGATGATCTTGGGTGGCAGGCAGAAAAAAATCAATATTGCTCAACCCCAGGCCTGTGAGGACTCAACCATTCCTCTGTGAACCCAGATCCCACCTTCTCATCTTCCACGACTGCTCTTGGTAGAAGGGCTGTGCTGTGCGGGGAAGGAAAGAGCGTTAGGAAGAAAGAGAACTGATTTTGGGAAAGTGGAAGTGAGTGTGGGAGCTGCTTGAAATAGCAGCTGTCATGGCCCCGAACAGTGGTGACTGGAGCTGAGGATGGCAGATGGATCGGGCCCAAATTTAGTGACACTTTCGCCTCCCCACCTGCACACTATCCCCTCAGCCCCGAATGCCCCTCGTTGTGTGGAAAGGTCTGCTCACTCTTCAAGACCCAGGGTCCCTCCTTTTTGACTCTTTCCGGACACCTGAGAAGAGTGCTTTTAGCTCTGAGTTACCACGTTCCTTTGTCTAAAGTAGAAGAAAGGCTGTTAACACCCTACAGCTTAATTAGGAAGCTGTCTCCCCTACCCCTCCGAGGTGTTCTGTGCAAAAGACAGGTCTCATCAACTTTGTAATTTTGGGGTATAAGATGAAACAACCTCCAGCCATTTTTTTTGGAAACAGAGTGGGATATCAACCAATCAATCAAGCATCCAACCATCCATCTAGCATCCATCCATCCAGTATCCAACCATCCAGCATCTATCCATCCATCCACCCACCCAGTATCCATCCACCCATCCACCCACCCATCCACCCATCCATCCATCCATCCACTCAGTATCCATCCATCCATCCGTCCATCCATCCATCATCCCTCTATCCATCCACTCACCCACATGGCTATCCCCAATGTGGAGCCCAGGGTCTGGCACACACGTCACAGGTGCTCAGCAGGGGTAAAATGAACATGAATGAACAAATAGGAGAAAATGGAAAATATTCTTACCAAGTTTCTTTTTCCCAACATGCTCCCTGTACAGGAGAGAATGGGGATGGGAAAGAGGAAGAGTCAGTGCCTGCTGTGTACTAACATAAGTTAGTCTGTTATAAAACTGAGATTCTCTACCTCACATCTCCAGTCAATAAGTAAAATTTAAGCCAGCCCCAGGGACCCAGATTCCTTAAAAAAAGGAAAAAAGAAAAAAAAAAAAGAATGAATTCCTCTTCATTTTCTCCCTTTCTTTGATAAGTGCTCTGGCGTCCTGGAGGGGTACAGAGTCTGAAAACAGGAGCTAGGCCTCCGCACTGCGCCGAGCCAGTGCCCACCTCATCAGGCACAGCGGAGGCCCGGAGATGTAGACACGGAGCAGAAAGCGCTTGGTGCTAAGCGGTAAGCAGGACACACTAAGACTGGGTAGAAGTCTGGGTAGCAGTGAATGAAGTACCTCTCTCTCACGGTGACAGGGGACACTCCTGCGGGCTAGAATTCACAGGGAATACTAGGTGATAGCAACTCCCTTACCCTGTCAATCATGTCAGAGTTTATGTACACAACTGCATTACAAATGCGATACCACAAACCAGGGTCTGCAAAGTACTTTTCAGTAAAAAGGTTTCCAGTGTTATAAAGAGAAAAAGCAAGGTGATAGGTTCAGTTGAGATAGGTGTTGTGGAAACAGTAACATTAGCTAGTAATTACTTAATAATTACCCAGCTAGCTACTTTTAATTCATTCATTTACTATAATAACCCTAGGAAATTGGGACTCTTTTTATGCCCATTTTACTAATGAGGAAAATGAGGCACAGAAAGGTTAAGTAATCTGCCCTAGGCCACACAGCCTAGCAAGTAGTACAGCCAGGGTCTGAACCCAGGTCTATCTAATGTTTAAACCTTGAGATATAATTCACATAACATAAAATTCATTCTTGTAAACAGTACAATTCACTGGTGTTTACTATATTCACAAGGTTGTACAACTATCACCACTATCTAATTCCAGAAAATTCTCCTCAACCCAAAAAGAAGCCCCCATATCCACCAGCAGTCACTCCCCAGTCCCCCTCCTCCCAGCCCCTGAACCACTAATAATAATTTGTGTGCTGTCTCTAATGACTTGTCCATTCTGGTAATTTTATAGGAATGGAATCGTACAATAGGTGGCCTTTCGTGTCTGGCTTCTTTCACGTAGCATAATGTCTTCAAGGGTCATCACGCTGTAGCCTGTGTCAGCACTTCATTCCTTTTGGGCTTGTCTTTCTTGGGCTTCAGCATGGGCGCAGGTGTAAGGAGATATTTGGGAATGAAGGCATTTGAATGAGCGGACGCTGTCTTTGTTAGGGGAAGGGAGAGGCATCTGGAAGGCCTGTGCCTCTGGTCTTCGTATGAGGACAAGAGTATCCACGTGGCGCCCCTCCTTCCAGAGACTTACAGCTATCGACTGGACCAGTCAGCTTCTCTTACCATCTACGAAAGACTACAAAACCCAAGAGTTTTGGCCCTGACAGCCGAGGAGCTGTGAAAACTGGCTGTGTGCCTACTGTGTGCAGGCTCTGTGCTGAGGACTTCCCACACACATATCCACGCCGCACCGTGATCCTGTGAAGTGCCTATTACTATTACTCCCATTTCAGACGTGAGGAAGTGGACTCTCCTGAAAAGTTATCAGAATAAAACTCCATTGCTGGGAAGCTGAATTATCAAACATAATAGCCAGGGTGGGGGTGTCCCCACGATTTCAGCCCCAAACTCAGAACACTCACTTGACCATGTCCTCACTCTCGCATTAGTCTCCCAAAAACCCCGTAATGTGGGTGGGGTAGGGGGCGTGATCTCACTGCACAGATGAAGCAACTGAGGCAGAAAGGGAGGGAGGTGACCCATCTGTCCAGGTGTTAAGAGGGCCCTGGGGGTGCACTCAGCCAGCTCCCTTCACCTGTAAAACTCAGCTATTGTTACCCACCTACAGTGTCAGTGAAGGCTGGTGAAGTGAGGCCCAGGTGGGGCTCAATCAGGGGAACCCAGTTTAATTTTTCCTTCACTTTCCTCTGGTTCCTCTCAGGGCTGGCTGGGCACGCTTGGGGGAGGTCCGCAAACCAACTTACTCTTTGGGGGGATTCAGGTCCTCGGGTCTTGTCTCAAAGAACTGTAGCACCTCCTCACACTGGGAGATATAGGGGGGCAGCTGGATCAGGGCCTGGAGAAGAGACACAGGTGAGTGCAAGGGGAGAGAGGGTCCCGGGAGTGCCGGGAGCCAGGGGCTCTCCCCCGGGCAGGCAGCAGAGCCTCGGGAGGAAGGGGGTGCTCAGTAAAACACACACTGCTTGGGCTCACCCTCAGATTTTCTGATTCAAGTTTGGGGTGGGGCCTGAAATGTGCATTTCTAACATCCCCTGTTGATGCTGCTCTGCTGGTTTGGGGGGCCCTCCCACACACAGTGGATGTACAGGGTGGGGCAAAATAGGCTTATAGCTATGAACACATGAAACAGTTTATCCTTGCATTATTACTTATTAATTACTGTACTATTTTCCACTCAAACAACTGTAAACCTTATCACCCCACCCTGCGTATACACATATATACCACAGGCATATTTGCAAGAATAATACCCACATATTTAGACAAAACAATAACCCGTGAACTTCGCGCCATGCCACTCGTCTTACGCCCACCTCTCCCGGCCGGTGGCGTCTACTGTTTAGACGGGCCACACGGCTCAGCCAGCTGCCCACCGGTGAGCGTTCTGGTTGTTTCTGACGTGCCTGATGTGCGTCCAAACTCACGGATCTGAACTGCTTGTGAAGGGGCCGTCTGAGAGTTAGGGGGAGGCTGGGAGTTCCCAGGTTAATGAGGTTGCACATCCAGGACCGACTCTCCAAGTCCATGCTATTTTGCCACCTCGGCTCATCATGAAAGGGGCCTCGATCATCTCTGCCACAGGAGGAGACCGGGGGGGGACCCACAGGCTGGGACCAGGCATTTGTTGTGCTGTTTATCGACCAACAGGTATTCACTCAATGGTTCAGTGGGCATCTTCTCTACGCCCAGCACTGCACTGGTTTCTGTGCTAAACAGGAGCAGCACAGGGCACATGTGATCATGAAAAGGTTGGAAAGTAAGACAAGGCTCCATAATGAATCAATAGCCCAGCTTAACAGACACCCACCGAAGCGTCCCCTGGCCCAGGTCCTGAGGACGTGCATTTGAGCGCAGTCGAGTCGTCTCACGCACACACTTGCACACTCCTGTGCAGGCCAGTGCCTGTGCCTGTGTGCGAAGTGAAGGAGCCCGGGAGACTCTGCCAGCCACGTCCCCCACCCACAGGTGCTCGGGAGGGAGGTGGGGCCCTCTCCCGTGCCTCCCTGCCACGCTCAGTGTGAGTCTGGGACGGCAAAGGCATGCCCCGTATTTCCTATATAAGGAGCCTATAAAAGCTCCCCTCCCCGCCCTGCCAAGTGGTGCTCCAACCCTGCTACTGGGCTGTGATGGACCAATGGAGAGATGGAGGGGGGTCTCCAATGTGGCTCCTTCCACAGGGTTTCAGGGGCATTTTGACCCTATATAACTGATTTTTCCAGTTTTTAAAAAATGTCAAGGGTGGTAAAATACGCAATCTTAACCACTGTTAAATGGACAGTTCAGTGGCATTAAGCACATCACACCTGTTTTGCAGCCATCGCCACCACCACCCACAGAACTCTCTTCATCTTGAAAAACTGAAACTAAACTCATTAAACAGCTCTCCACTCCTCCTCCCCCAGCCCCCGCACCCACCACTCTACTGGGTATAAATCTGATAACTCTAGGAACCTCAGGTAAGTGGAATCACACAGTATTTGTCCTTTGGTGACCGGCTAATTTCACTGAGGCTCAGCCGTGCTGTAAGCATGTGTTGGAATTGCCTCCCTTTTCAAGGCTAAATAACATCCCACCGTATGGATAGATCACATTTTGGGTTGCTGACCCCATATGGCCTTTGAGTCAGGCTCTGAATTTAAGCTCCCCCCTGCCCCCATGTGTGTGACCCAGATCTCAAGAGGGGAAAACCTATGAGGCGAGTGGACATGTTTTAGTGAGGGCTTTCCCCAGTCCCTGTCCTCTAGATCCTGGAGTGAGCGATGCTGACCCAGTGTGTGTAGCTCACTGACTTTTTAAAATTAACCCTGTAGTGCCTCCTGTTCTGCAGCAAATCCCCAGGGATCGAGTTTTTCCAGGCCAGAGGCAGAGAGCCCGAGGGAGAAAGCAGGCCCTTCCCGTCTCCCGTTTCTGACCCCCCCTTTCTGGCTCAGAGCAGCCAGTGTTCATTCTTCTGCCCGGGCCGAGCTGCCGTCCCTGGTCCCCGTGGGTGTCTTTCCTCTGAAATCCTGCAGCTCTTGCAGTTGGAACCACATAATGGAGGAGCTGATTACACGCTGGACTGTGGCACGTCCTGGCTGCTTCGTGGGCAGAAATCTTGTGGCTGCCCCCAGACGGCAGTAACAACATACTTTACGTCGGCTCAGCACTCGATGGCCCTGAAATGCGGTTGTCTGTGCTGCTTCATGTACTCCTGGGAGGGCTGGCCCATTTTACAGATAGGGAAATGGAGGCTCTGGGGACCTGCCCAGGACTTCTACCCCAAATCCACAGAGGGAAGGGGTATGTGGCTATTCCTCCTGCACCTCCCCTACATGTCCAGACAGTGCTGTGGAGCCCCGGATACCTGGTCAAAAGAATTCACTGGATAAATGACATGAGAAGGATGTGACCGTGTGGCCCTGTTTGGGGTGAGCTGGGTGGGCCCTGAGGAGGCCATGGTCTCCACCCGGAGGGGGCCTCCCAGGATGCTGCTTGCTGAAACGGGCAGAGGCCCTGAATGGACCATGGGACGAGGCCCATGGAAACCTTACGACAGTGCCAAGTTCTCTTTTGGTTTTGAGCAATTCCTAGGAAGTAAAAGCCAAACCAAACCCCCAAACCATAAAATAAAGCCAAGTCACTAATACAAGGCAGCACCGAGCTCTTTGATGTTCACCCCTTTCATTCTGGAAGGACACGCTGACAGTAAAAATATGACCTGGGGCAGGGAAATAATTCTGCTTCTGAAATAGTCCAGAACCATCTCGGGGTTGGTCAGTAATGTCCAACAACCACAGTTCCAGGAAAACCCGGCTCTGTCCGGGCTGGAATCCCAGCCCCGTGGGCAGAGGTGGCTGGTTGATGCAGGGATAAGAGAGCAAGTCCTGCTGGCCAAGGGTAACGTGAAGGTCAGACAGATCCAGCTCCAGATTCTGGCTCTGGCCATCCCATCTGACCCTCAGTGTGCTCATCTGGAAAATGGAAATAGCGAACACCCATCTCAGAGGGCTGTGCTGCAGAGTAGTGAGAAAGTGGCTGTAAGGAATCCAACGCGTGCTAGCTGCTCGATAAACAGTAAGTTAACCCTCTGGCTTTCTGTACCGGAGCAAGTAAACATTGTGGTGATTTCCAGAGGCGATTCTCGAGTCAGCAAGATGACTGTTAGATAACAAGGCGGCTAGAGAAAGCTCCGAGGTTTCTCAGGCCTCTCTCTCAGTCCCCCAACTTCCAAAAGAATGGCCCAGGGAGTCAACGCTTCTCTCTCTGTAAAGTTTAGAAATCTTATTGTATTGGGGCAAGGACACTTAACCCGAGATCTACCTTCTGAACACATTTTTAAGTGCACGGTACAGCGTTGGCCGTCGTCGAGAAGATCACTAGAGCCTACTCACCTTGCTGACTGAAACTTTATTTCCGTTGGCTAGTAACCTCCCATTGTCCCCTCCCCCCAGCCCCGGCACCCACCATTTCAGTCTTTCATTCTATGAATCTGACACCTAGACAAGCAGAATTATACAGCATTTGCTTTTCTGTGACTGGCTTATTTCACTTAGCATAATGTCCTCGAGATCCACCCATGTTGTCACATGTGGCAGCATTTCCTTTTTATTATTACTATTTTTTAAATTCTCGCCTGAGGATAGGTTTCTATTGATTTTAGAGAGAAAGGGAGATGAGGGAGGGAGGGGAGAGAGAGAGAGAGAGAGAGAGAGACCGATGGGCTGCTTCCCGTATGGGCTACGACCAGGTATCGAACCCAAAGCCTGGGTATGTGCCCTGACAAGGAATCGAACCCGCAACCTTTTGGTGTGCGGGACAATGCTCCAACCAACCGAGCGACCTGGCCAGGGCAGAGTTTCCTTCTTCAGAAAGGCTGGGTAGTATCTGAGTGCACGTCCGCATCCCATTTGGGTGGTTCCCACATCTTGGCTGTAGGGAGCATGCTGCAGTGAGCGTGAGCAGAGCACACTCAGGGTCAGAGAGGTGATGGGAATGGCCGGAGCCAGGATCAGGAGCGGGATCTGTCTGACTTTTTTTTATCACTGCCCTTGGCAAACATAGTTTCTCTTCCAGATCTCGACTTCAGTTCTTTTGAATAAATACCCAGAAGTGGGATTGCTGGGTCATAGGATAGCACTATTTTTAACTTTTTGAGGAACCTCCATATGTTTTTCAGAGCAGCTGCATTCTTCTGCATTCTCACCAACGCTGTGGGCAAGGGTTCCAATTTCCCCATGTCCTCGACAATGCTTATTTTTTTTTCTTTTTCTTTTAAATAATAGCCATCCTAACATCCTAACAGGTGTGAGGTTATATCTCACTGCTTTTGACTTACATTTTCCTGATGATTGGTGACACTGGACATTTTAATGTTCAGGTATATGTACCTGTTGATTGCTTGTTTACCTTCTTAGGAAAAATGTCTATTCAAGTCTTCACCTCATTTTTTTAATCGAGTTATTAGTGTTATTGCTATTGAGATGTAGGAGGAGTTCCTCATATATTTTAGAGATTAATCCCTTATGAGTTGTATGGTTTGCAAGGACTCTTTCCCATTTCATAGGCTGCCTTTTCATGTCTGATTGTTTCTTTTACTGTGCAGAGCTTTTTAGTTTGATGTAGTCCCACCTATTTATTTTTACTTTTGCTACCTGTACTCTTTTTAAATTTATTTAAATTTATTGATTTTTAGAGAGAGAGAGAAGGGAGAGGGAGAGAGAGAGAAACATCGATCAACTGCCTCCTGTAGGCACCCCTACCGGGTATGGAACTGGTGTACCTTTGGTGCATGGGACAACGCTCAACCAACTGAGCCACAATGGCCAGAGCCACTGGCTGATTCCTGTATGTGTCCTG